TGGTTAAAATGTTGAGCAAATTATTAAATTTCTCTGATGCCCGTTCAGCACGGTGGCTAGGGGGGCCGGTGGGGGCACGGGCGAGGGCGAGGGCGTGGCATGGCCTAGGCGCAAGGCCATAAAAAGATTAAGCAGGCGAGCGGCGTGTTAATTTATGACCAACAAATATGCTCGACAAAACGCTTAAGCAGAGAACACAACGGGGCCTCAAAAAGCGTCTCCTCAGAGTGGGATTTATGGACTGGACTGATACCCTTTACCTTGTGCATCATTCAGTGTCGAGCATAAGCAGCTTCGTCAATTTCAAATGAATTTGAGTGCAATAATAGCGCTGAGTTGTCCAGTCAAAAATTCAAAGAAAATGTTCTCCACACGTAGTCACATTTTGTGCACTCCACGAATATTCTAGGAATATGCTACCCTGCCTTTGGAGTAGCAAAGGGAACACCACCAGAAGCCAAGGCCAACGAAATTTCTGGGCGTGTGGTGGGCGGGCGCACTGACAGTGGCAAAGGGCAGTGCCCAAGGGGTCCGGTGTCCTAAGGGGCAAACGGGCCAAAGGATGTGGCAATGTGGCAGGTGGCTTGTACTCCGCCTTTTCGGGGGGTCACGCCGCTTAAAAAGTTGTAAAATTTGTTAAAATACTTGAAACGCCGACGCCCAAAATAAAGAAAAGCATGCTCAAAAACAAAGCGAGCGTAAATAATAAAATAATAATAAAAAGCAACGACAAATGGACAATGGAAGAGCGGGGGAAAACGGTAATGAGAGCCGACTCAAATATACTTCTGGCCGCAGCAAAATTAAAGCAGGAAGTGATAGAAACATGCGATACCCATTTTACCATATATAAAAAATGCAGATAACATAATTGAACAGATAAGCCCTCTCTGGAGCACCCCCTCCGGAGAACCTTTCCTTTCCTTTCCAACAATTTTATTTTTATTTTCTTTGTCTTGCCGATGCATATGCGTGGGCTAACCATGGACCAGTATGTATTTTGTACATTCTAGAGGGTACAGCCTCAGTAGTAATTTACCGTAATTTCAGTGCTCCCGACTCAAAGCTGAAGAGAGAGAGAGAGAGAGCAGTTGAAGAAGAGAGAGCAGCTGTAGAAAGAGAGAGAAATCAAATGCGCTGTAAATGAAATTTTTGTTGCAATTTACATTGGCTACTGCTTTCGGTCGCTGATCTGTTTTCTGGTGAATAAGGCCTACTACTGCTCTCTCTCTCTCGTTTTTGCTCTCTCTCCGCAGCGTTGCGCGGGGTGTGGTTCTGGTTGAGAGGAAAGAGAAAATGAGACGCAGAGGTGTACAACGGAGTACCGAGGTTACTCTTCGGGTATATTCTACGATCAGTTCCCTAGGGGTTCTAATGGCAATACATACATGTGTGCATAAACTTTAATAAGTTCTTCCGTTGCTGTTCTCAATTCAGTTTCTGCCTTACAAATCCCTTAACCAATCAGAAAGAATTGGCTTTCAATGCAATCATTGTATTATCCCATGTCCCCGCTGTATGGGATACATTGTTTCGACGGCGCGACGTTAAGGTCCGTAATGAAAACTGTCAGACAATGCTGCCAAAACGATTTCAATCGCATTATTCCCCCCTCCTGCTCCACACTTGCACACATGCCTTATCACTGATCGGGGGATATTATTATTAATAGTTCATATGGGTGCATGGTCGGTCCCCGCCCCGCGCCACCCCACCCCACCCCATTCTGTTCAGTGTCTCATTATAAAAACATTAAATAAAATTGCGATTAAATTCGAAAATAAAAGTGCGACGAGTGGGGGAACGAAGCGGACGGCACGCGAAAGAGTAAGAAAATATCGCTCTCAACTAATTAAGTTAATATGAAGAGACAGAGAGAGTGAGAGTGACTGAGAGAGCACCAGAGAGAGAGAGAGAGCAGGACCAAGTGGCGGGCGTTATTTATGGCCATTTTCCATTCACATCGCTATGGTCCGCCGAACGCCCAACGCTCAAAGCAATTGTCCCATGTCCCACGTCCATGTCCACGTCTGCCTTCGCGTCCATGATTCTGAAAGTGTCATGCATTATGTAAATTAATTTACACAGAGAAAAGAGGACTGAGTTGCAGGGTATGAAAAACCAATAAAACAATAAATAAATGAATAAAAAATAAAAGAGAAAACCCACAGAGTTTCAGGCAACATAAAAACAACAGCATAAAAACGATAAAAACGGAAAAAGTACATACATAAGTAGCAAAAAAAAGGAGAGAACGATTAAGCAAAGCGATTCGAACATGAGATACTCTGGACGCTACGGGAATATACATGAATGGAAATATTGGGTAGATAAAAACAAATAAAGAGTTTACGAGTTTAAATTTCTCTAGGATTATTAAGAATTTGGTGATGCAAATTATTGCATATATGTTTGATTGTTACGTTTCCTTCAGAGATACCTGGATCTTCATGTGATTGTGGGGTATTAAAAAGGGGAGAGCTGCAATGCAATCAAAAATGACAATGCAAAATGCAATCAATTAAAATATTCAATAAAAACCAATGAAAGAAGGAGAGAGAGGGATACACCACGGACTACAGAGACAGGGAGGGTAAGAGGGATAGAGACACAAAGAAAGAGACAGCGAGATAGAGAGAGAGAGAGAGAGAGCAAAGATACATTTACGAAGAGACAAAGTTTCGTTCATTTAAAGCCTTCTAGTAAATTAAAAATTAATTACAATAAATCAGGAATGAAAGTGGACAATGAACAATCGAATGGACAATCAATCGAGCGAACTGCTCATGCAATCAACGTGGAAAAAGTCCAAAAGTCTCTTTGGAAAACTATCGCTGCAAAGCCTTTAGCTATTTTAGAATATTTTATTGCCCGTCTATGACTTCGATCTCACCCAAATCTGGACTTTAAATATGCTTGGATAAAGTTCGTAATGAAAAATCTGTATTTTTGATTCGATTTTTTCTCGGAACGTTTTCCCTGAACCACTTACCTCTTTTTCTCTCTGAAATGATCACATTTACTGGCAATGCCAATGCAACTCAGTGTACACTCTATTCCTTTCTGGACCCCTAATCGATTTCTTCGGCATTGGTTAATGAATGTTAGAAAGTCCCAAAGTCCCACTGGCATAAGAAAATCAAAAGCGCATTTATATATATTTTTTTGTTTCTTATACAGTTTTTTTTATTGAATTCATAGTTTTTCTGAATTGCATGCCTCTTTTCGGTATTCGTTTTGATCGATATATGGAATGTGTATCTGTATCTGTATTTCTGCTGTGTCTGTATCCCTGGTGTATCTCTGGTGTACCTGTGTGTTTTCTGTGTGTATATCCTTTCCGTTAAGGTTACTAATTTCATTTCAAAAACCTCATGCAATTGTAGTATTCAAACCCTTTTTTTTTGGAATCACTCACAAAGTGGGTATGTATTTGTTCTTGAACAATTGCCACAGCGTTCCATCCGAAAGCATGCCAGAAAATGAAGAATCACTGAAACGAATGTAGCCTTTTGCTTATGGGAACATTTGAATAGCATCGATCGACTATCGTTAGGTGCTGTGGCAGTCTGATGCTGTTATTTTGTTCCTCTTCTTCGAACGAGTATGTCTCATGTCACATATGGATTCTATATCTGTATCTGATCTTTGCTGATGTTACTGTATAAGTATTTCTGTATTTTTTTATATTTTTTTTATTCATGAATCGTAATATTTTTGAAAGTGTTCCATTTTTTATCGCTTTGGAAGGCAACACACACATATACCATAGATATTTGTTCGGGCATTTTCTTTTTTATGGTTTTTTTTAAATTTAATTCACATTTAAAATTGTTCTGTTTTTTCTTTGTTTTTTTTTGTGTTTTTGCAATTTGTCACCTTAAAATTCTGTACTTTAACACATGTATCTCATTAAAAATTGTATTTGCTTTTTTTGTGTTTTTTTTTTTGTTTTTTTGCGATTTCTCTCATTAATTAAATCATTTTGGAGGTGTGGCTGGCGGGTGGTAAAACCATAGAAAAACAACAAAAATTAATGTACAGACGTATCGAATCGAACATAAATTCCTTTCGGGGCTCGACACATTTTTAATTATCGCTTATCGTTTATGGTATCATTATTATCATCATTGTGATACCCTCATGTGTTTATTTTCTGTTCATTCGTAGTTTTGCAACATGGACTTAATTTTTTTTGTTTTCACCCTTATTTTATACATATTCATATACATATACATACATACATATATAGAAATTGATTTTAGTTTCTTTTTTAAATTTGGTATTTGAATTACATTCAGTTTTTCCCCTCCTCTTTTTTTTTTGTTCTGTTCTGATCCGCTGCTTAGGGCTCTCTAGTGCAATGCGATTTGATGATGGACAAGTAGATCAAATAGTATATACTCCTACGACTCCTCATACTCCTATTCTTCACCCTTTTTCTACCTATTCTACTTGAAGGAATGCTTTGCAATCGACTGCTGATTTTATATGGGAGTTCCATCACTTCACAATCAAGTAACCATCAAAGCATTTCTTTCTGCTTCTCCTCTTTTCTATAGATCACTTTTCTACCATTATTTTACGCAGATATTGCAGAACCGTCTCAGGAGCAATATTTCTGTTGTCGATGGTGAAGGGGAGGGATGTGGGGGGTTTTCAAGAGAAGATAATCCTATATTGAAGGGAATTTCCCAAGAGATTCATAAGAATATCTTTGGATATCGCTGACATTTCTCTTACACTTTTTTTTTGCTTGGGTTTCATTTTCCATTTTTTGTTTTTTTGCTTTGTTTGTATTTGTTTTTTGGTCTTTTGGTTTTTTGGTTTTTTCTGTTTCTTTAATACATTTTTAATTTTCTAAACGTCATCACATTTATAAAATATACTTTGTTCGGGATCTTGCCATGTTTCTTCTTACGTTTTTTGTTAGAGTTATGCCATATTCCATGTAATTATGCTTTTAGTACGGAGAGTATCTGTATATTTATCTTTCTGTTTTTGTTTTTCTTTTATCTTAAGAGCATGAGAAATGGGTTCACAGTAAGGGTTGGTTGGAATGAAAGGGGGCAATGGGGATGTCTCGCTTATTTTTCTTTCTGGGATCAAGAGGAGAATGGAGGGTTAGACCCTGTCTTCTTGTGTGTGGGGTGGGATCGCGGATTCTTTCTTTCTTTCTTTCTAAACTTATCCTTTTGTCAGCTTGGCTTAGAGATAGAGTTTCTATAGTATGTATCTATGTATGAATCTGTGTGGGTGCGCTGTCTGTGTGTGAAGGAGATAGAAGTCTATATAGAGAGATAGAGATAGATTTAGAGAGATAGAGAGAGAGAGAGTGTTTCAATAGCAATATGCCTTTCGTTAATCGGATAGTTATTTATTTGTATCTGTATCTGTAGCTTTTCTCTATATATGTATCTTTTATATCTGTTCTCACACATACAACAACAATTTCTATATAGAGATAGAGAGCTAAACGGATTAATATTCTGATCAGATCTGATGAGACACAAAAAAAAATACAATTATACTAAGTTTTCCTTTCCAGTTTTTGTTTGTTGCTTAGCTTTGCTTACATCACTAGACAATCCTTCTGTATCCTGCACCTATGTATCTTTCTGTATATTCTGCTACTCCTTTTCCTCTTTCGTCTTCTCTCTGTATGTTTCGTTTTTTCTTAGATTTTACTATAGTCTTGAACTTAAGCCTAAAAAAAAACACTTTTTCTTCCTCAAATTTCGAGGAATCTCTTTTTCTTTTTTGTCTATATTTATCTGTATTTGTATCTGTTTTTGCGCGCATATATGTATGTAATATATTTACGAGTATGTATTTATCTTTAGACACCTATAGCTTATAGAATGGAATGGATCCATATCAAAACAGGGGAGTCTGAATCCATTATGCAATGCAATCAATATCTATCTTCTGTTTCCCCACTTGTATCTGTATCTTTTGTATTTTGTTGTAATTTTTTTATGATCTGCTGGCAATCTCTCATCTGATGCCTTATTTACAATGGGTTTATTTTTATGTACTTATGGATTTTATGGTTTTGTTGCAAGAACATGTTGCATGAACATGAAGAAAATCGTTCGTTCTTTCGTTCTGTGTTTATTTTGTTGTTTTTTTTTCTTCTGTGGGTTTTGCTCTTTGTTTTTCCCTTCGTTACAGTTCCAGTTTTAGCCCGAAAATGACCTTATCTAACGACTACTTAATTTAGTGATAAAAGGATGTACTCACGTATGCCCCGCCCCCTCTGCATTCCACTCATAGAGCGAAAAATGAGAGACCACATCGATGGGAGTGGGGCAAAGGGGAGAAACGAAACGTTTTGGAGAACGCAAAACCAAGGCGTTGGCTGGAAGGATCCTGAAACTGGAACGGAAAACCAGAGAGCAGCACACCCTCCACCCCCACGCCTCACTCTCTCTCTCTCTGTGTAGCTCGCTCTTGGAATATTTAGTACTGCATCCCAGTTGGCATTTCGATGGCATTTCCGGCTCCGGCTCCGGTTACGCGGGGGCCGGCTAGTCATGTGCCTGGCACCAACGAATTCCTCTCCATCTGCTGCTCTCCACCGTCGATGTCCCTCTGCTGTCCATTGTTGTTGCCTCCTCGTTGCAGTTGCTGTGTCCTCATCTTGGGTAGGGTTGGGCTGCAGCAGGCAGAGGCGTGCAACAGGATCAGAGTGCTGCAGATGGCCATCAACACTGAGATCACAGGCGGTGGCTGAGCTGGCGCCGAGTTTCCATGATGCATGGCCGCCGGATGTTCGCCTGCAAATGAATAACGAGAAATTTATCACAACGGGTGCCAATCGGGTCGGAGGTAACAGATACGATGTGTGAGACACATCCACACACAGCAAAGATGCAAGCAGGGGGATGCAAACACACACACACTCACATAAAGCGGCTCCTACGACACCCACACATGTATGAACACACCTGCAGAATGCATTCAAAAACGCTTCGATGTGTGCCAATGCACTGCAATCAATTTGAATACTCAAATTTTGACTTGGTTTTGAGTGCATAGATTCTGCAGACCGCTCTTTTAATATCGATTCGGTGCCAGCCGAGTTCCAGAACCATCTTATGAAACATTTAAAGATATCATACCGATTTCTTACTGTACATATATTTCATTCGGACAGGTTCTTGTCTTTATAAAATTGATTTAAATCTGATTTTTGGCTTAAATCCACAACCGAGACATAGAATAAATGATATTTACTATTTACAAACAAATTTTGTATTTTTAACTCATAGAGAAATTGCTTTCTAGTTCTTATCCGACAAGTATTTTTCTTATTAATTAATTGCCTAGCGACTTAAATCAGTTTTGCCAAAGTATCTTTCGGATACATCCCCAGCAATTGAGTGATGGAAAAAAGGTTAATTTGAAAGCTGCAGCACTTTTCATGCCAGAGAAATCTGCCAAAGGAGGAGAGGGGACTTTAGCTTGCATCTATGGGATGTATCTGTATCTGCATCTGCATCTGCATGCTTTTGCTGCTCCTCCTGGCCCTGCCACTGGCGATGGCTGGCAAATCCAGCAGCTTTATTGCCTATTAACTTAATTGCCGGCAATAAAAACGCCAAGCTACTGGCTAAAAAAAGAACACACAAAAGATGAACAGGCAGCAGCAACCAACAGAAGGGATTTCGCTTCTACGAATACGAATATGGGACACTCTTTTTGGCTTCGCAATGTAAGGAGGATTTAGATGAATTCTTCAATATTTAACATAAAATTTAACTCGGATAAAAAATGAACGGAAAGTCCTATCGTATTTGACAAACTTTCACAATTCTACTTTAATGAATCTGAGAAATGTATTTGCATTTCTTCGTTGACAGCATGGTAAAAATCGTCCAAGTCATCTGTTGCATTCTGTGTTAAACCTCTTTAATTACAGGGTATTCAACTGCCCAACTACTTTTTGGAGCCAGGGGGTCCAGAATGGGCCAGGGAACAGGGGCCATGGGTGCCTTGAGTGGCATCTTGGCGGTGGTGGGGAGGGGTGCCGATGGGGGTAGATGGAGCACACAGATGCCAGATACGGGAGCCATAAATTTTGGCATGAAATGCGCTCGCGGAGAGTCTCCGAGTCTCTGTCTGTGTTTCAGTGCTACGCGGCGACTGCTGCTTCAATTATCATGCATCGTTCGTCCTTTACGAGTTCGTTGATGCCGCATCATGAGCTGTTACTTAAGTGTCTTTCCTCCTCTTTCTCTCTCTCTCTCTATCTTTGTGTGTGTCTCTATCTTTTTTGCTTTGAACTGAATGCAGATTTCGCAAACCATTTTGCCCCAAGTTCTTTGGCTGCTAAGCATTTTGAAAAGTTTCCATGCCATGCCGAATGCTAAACGACAATGGCCAATAACCAGGAGCAACAACGTTCCATCGTACGAAGCGTCCACTAATTACGAAGGATATAAGATGGAACCGAAAGGAGCGAGCGTCTGGTCTGCTCAGTTAATACGGTTTGACATAATTAAGCATTTGAGAAGGAGGAGCACTTGGAGAGGAGACACAATGAATCGTTCGTCCACTTATGACAGTAATGAAGGAGTGGCCGTAGCAGAAGGTGAAGGCGGAAAGGACACTCTCTCTTCCTCTCTCTCTCTCTCTGGCAAAGATAAAAGCGTCATAGAAACTATACCTAATTGGATTGGGGTTTTTGTATGGATTGCGTGTGGTCGAATGGACCGCTTGCAGGACACCCGAATCAGTTCAATTAATGAAAATGACTTTGATGTCAGTCGATTTTTGTGCGTCTTGGTGTAATGATCGCATCCTCTGATTCCCAAAAAGACAAGCAAAAACATACAGCAGTAAGCGGCTTTTGTTGTTGGCTTTGATGCTGAAAGACCAGGCATTATCAATAATGCAACAACTAAGATATTTATGTATGAGTACTCACACAATATAGGAGTTCAGGCGACAGGAGAAAGAGCTTAAGCGCATGCGAATGAACTCTGTGCAGACAAAGTGGACTGAGTGATTGAATGAATGAGCTTCTGAGTGGAGAAACTCCTCATGAATTCAAATATTATATCTATGTATATGCAAATAATGATGGAGGGCCGAAAGTTATTTTTTAATCTTTGATTTTAAGGAAGGAAAGTCACCCAGAGTGGATTCCCTTCGACAATTAAAATCAAGTTCGGAGCAAAAGTCTGTTATCGCGATGGATATTTCTTCCTCTGTTTTCTTTGCACCGAAATAAAAACTCATTTACCTTCTTAGTTATGCTTGGTTGCTCAAAGAGGAATACTCCAAACGGATGGGATGGAAGGGGTAGTGGCTGCTGCTCTTCCCTACTGGAAGGCCACGACTGATCTCTCTATTTTGCCGGCATTTGGGCGGCTTTTGTGTCGATTTCAATTTGGCTTTCTGCTGCCTTTTGGTGAGTCGTGCTCGGAGGGGGGGTGAGTGGTAGTCAGATACTTTTATTAAATAAACTAGTTGGAAGTGTGGTGGAAAGCGTCCCGCTGGCAGCAGAAGCTGCCACCCGGCCACCCGGCCACCCCATCAATCTCCATGCCCCATGGCGCTGTGTGGCACTGGCCCTGTGGCAACGTTGGGGCGCAAACAACTTGTGTTAATTACTTAAGTTTCAGCAGTTGTTCCACTTAACAAGTTGCTTGCTACCACTGCCTGGTAGTGCTACTGCTACTGCTACTGCTACTCCTGCCACTTTCCCCGTTCCTGCTGTTCCTCCTGCTTCTGGCCTTTTTGCCAGAGTGTCAGCTGCTGCTGTTGTTGCCGCTGTTGCTGTTATTTTTAGTCTAATTCCAGGGGCATATTTGTTGTAGCGTGCCGCTTACACGCCAAAGTCATTTGCGCTCAAGTTGTTAAACTTTTTGCTTTGTAAGCGCTTTTTTCCGGCCTCAGCGGAAGCCGGAAGGCGGATGGGCGCCTCGAACCCGGCCGAGTAGATGGGGGCGTAGATTGGAGTCGAAAACCACCCAAAGCTCAACACAGTGGCTGCGGCGTCTGCGGCATAAACGAGTCAAAACTTGCGCAAATGTTGATGCTCAAACTTTTTCCGCAACTAATTTTCTTTGACTTTTCCATGTGTGTGTGTGTGTCTGTGTTCATTTGTGTGTGCATAAATGAGTATCTATGATTTTGTGTGTACCCCTCCCCTCCTTGGAATATTGGCTAACACTTGGTCCTCAAATTGTTCCCCTAAAGAGATTCCGGATAACATAGTTATACAAATTATGATGCATGTACTCCTATAACTTTGGAAAAGCTTTCCATGATTTCCTCAAAACATTCTTGTCAATCGTTCCTGTCGAAGTGGAATTTAAAGGAAAGACATGCAAGAAAATATAATATTTGATCATTGTATCAACCAAAATGTAATTCTAGGCAACATCCTGAAGTTAATGTGAAATAGCAATCCATTTTTAAATGTTTTATCGGATAAGAAGCGCTTATATTTAATGTGTATGAAACGGATTGAATGAGGTGGTTTTTTTTTGTTACACTTTTGGTTTTAAACACAAAATCGGGTATGTTTGCTTAAACGTTAAATACTTTTAGGGAGAGAAGAGCCAAATTGTTTGCCGATTTTTCGAAACTCATAAAATTTTTTATATAGTTTTGAATCACTAGTAATGGGGAAGAAATAGGGATACAATCTAACAGATACGGAATCGAAAATAACAATTTTACAACACCAACAAAATCTGAAAGAAAACTATAAAGAAAACACTTCATCAAAATATTGTTGCCATTTCAGATAATGTCCCACAAATATTACCGAATATGTACCGCCTTCATTTTATAATTTCGACACAGGACATTATCTATTTCGGGACATTTTGTCGGAATGGGGTTTCCAATTATGTTAAAAACCCATTCCTTGTTCTTTTTTCTGTCCTCAAATGTTTGTTTTTTACAAAAAAGATACAAGATAGTGTTTTTTTTTTTGGAATCGATTCTATGTATGTACATACCGTCGCACCCAGGCCGTTCTGGTTCACCACCGAAGCTCCTAAACTCCTCTGGAAAGTCAGACCAAACTATATATTGTGTTTAGAAAAATAAATCTCTCTCTTGCTCACTGCATTCAGAAATTTCTCTCTCAAATCTTCCATATTTCGCGTATTACAAAAGTCGATTATATATTCTAAAAATTAAAAAACAAAATACTAAATATGTGCATACAAAACATTTGGTAGCATTTGGTAGTATTTTCAACAACTATTAATTAGTACTTTTTTATAAACATTTTTCAAGGCAAATGCATTCCATACAGTAAATATTTTCCGGCATTTATTATTCGTAGCGTAACCACAAGAATATTCTATAAATATTAATTAAACAATAATAATCGCTTTCAATCATTTTCCCTGTATATTTTTATATTTTTCTTGTTTCTACTTGAAGCTTTAACTCCGTTTTCATTGCGGAGCAGAGCTCAAAAGTTATACACCTAATTGTTGGCTCAGTCGTTTGCCCCCAGGGACTACTCTCTGCCCCCCGCCGACTCATGTCTGCAGCAATCTCTATGTTTAATGTCATCTCCCCGAAGCGTCTCCGGTGTAGGAAAAACTTGTCGTCAATCACTGGACCAAACGCTCGCTCTGTTCCGCTCCGCTCTTAACTGCTCCGCTCGTCTGTCAAATAAAGCCGAGGCAAAAGCTTAGTTGACTTTTGGGCGCCCGCACATTTGTCTTGCTGAAAACCCCCCACCCTGCCTAAAAAAGGGAACCCCTCGTAACCCAGGAGCTTCCTTATTCGGACATACCAGGCACTCGTTTTAACCAATACGACAACAAAAAAAAGGAAAGGTACATACATAGGGCGCTTTTTTGCATAGTAGGACACACAGAGCGCTGCTCGGACACTGGGTCTGGCCCTCTACTCACCATCAACGATGTGGACGCGGACCGATGTGGGATTGGCATTTGAGGGGGCGCATGTGTAGAGGCCCTCATCCTCCTGTATGGCCTTCTGGACGAGGAGACGGCTGGTGGTCAGTACACCTTTCTCAGTGACTAATGATATGCCGCCGCGAGGTGAATCGAAATTTATGACCTGAAATGAATAACACCCAAAACACGAGAGAGAGAAACGAAACAAACAAAACAGAAAAAAAAACAGAGCTTAGTACCACACACAACTTTCAGGAGCTGCCTGCCGCTGCTGCTCTACGAAATGTTCTACAGATTTTTGGAGTTTGCTTGGGTTTGCTGTGGGAAGAGGAGATGGAAGGGACGGAGTCTGTGGCTCTCCAGAGCTCATGTTATTTAAATTTTTATTAATGACAGTCGTTTTAGTCTCAAAAGAGCAGCCAGGTTGCAGGATTTACAACAGCAAAACAGCAAATCATAAAGAAAAATGTAAAAGCTTGACCGATGCGTTGGTGGATATTGTACCTTATTGTATCTAGGATCATTCTGTAAAGGAAGTTCAAAAGTTAAAAATCGAAATTCAAGAGTTAGAAAGTCTTGAAAAATGTACACTTTTAGGGGCGTTAATATGTGTTGTGTCTTTTTGTTAAGATTTCATTCGAAAGTTTTGAGGCTACGTCAGTGCATTTTTCGTATCGACAAGAACTTGCAGATGTTTCAGAATGGCAAGCCATGACCTTAAGATGTGTCTGCTGCCATAACGAATTTCGAACTAGCTTTTAGGCTTAACTTCTATGGTATTTCTTCTACGAAACCTATTCCACAAAGGCGTGTTCTAAAGACACTTCGTTCTAGTGCCTAATAGCCTGCACAACTTAAAGAAATCTTTGACAATGAGGTTTTTTGGTTGAGTTCCCTGATTGCTTTAGTGTTATTTGGGTGTGTGGGGGGAAGAAAAGAAATATTACCGCCGAGCACTAATAATCGTAAAAAGTGTAAGATGTCTCTGCCGTAACTGAAAGCGGAGTGAGAGAGGCGGACCCTTGTCAAATATAATTATTGATGCTGTTCTTATCCCTCGCTCTCTCTTCTTTACTGTCGCATCCTATATCGTATATGTAGTGTAAGCCCCCATATATGTACACGTGCACCTGTCATGTGGTGTTTTTTTTTTATTTTGATGCGGGGGTTTTTTTTGTTTTGTTTTTGGGGATTGGGGACGCACTCACCTCGCGATTGTGGGACCAGGAGACGGTTGGCGGTGGTTCCGGTGCAAATTTCACAATGCAGGTTAAATTGATGGTGGATCCTTTGTTGATGTGCAGGTCGGGGCCGCCAATGACCTCGGTGATGGGTTCTGCACAAAAAGATACAAAAAGAGAGGCAAAGAGAGGTTTAAAACTCCATTGCATAAGCACAGAAAATGGGGCATAAAACATTTTGAAAGCTCATTTCGGTTCTAAAACTCAAACAACAATAAAAGTAAGACACAAGAGGGGCAAGAGGTCTTTCCGTTGAGTGGCTCGACCATGTGGATACCCATCTCACACTCCCATTTTGCGAAACTAATTTCACTAGAGATTCTCTATTTAAAAGAAGAATAATTCTTGGGTCAAGTGGTAATGATAAATTCTGTCCTAAAAATATATATTAATGTACAGGGTATAACAAACGTATATATCTCTATTGAGAATAGAGCCATTGAGTGATGGAAGGGTATGAAGAGATGGTAATAAGGGGGCCAAGGACACTCGAAATCGTCCTCGAGGTTGTCGTTGTTGAGCCTCTCTCTCTCTCTCTCTGTTTAAGAAAAGTTTATCTACCGTTGCGTTAAATTGTTTTCTTTTCTGCCGCGTAACCAGGGGTCGTATCTTAGGGGAAGAACCCCCTCGGAACACCACTCCCTCCCCCCCACCACTTCCAGGAATATGTATGTGTGTGTGTATTTGACATTTACACGTTTGTTTACTCTCTTTATTCATCGTAAAACAATTTCTGACTTTTTGAAGGAGCAAAAACCAAGCGGAAAACGGAGGCTAAAAATACACACACACGGAAAAATAGCAAAAGCAAAGAAAGTGAGCCAGAATAAATGCAAAGTGACAGTAGAACTAGCGGGGGAGAGCGAGCGCAAAATATACAGAGATACACGAGAAAGATGTAGCGGAAGAGAGACTGGGAAACACGCAGATACAAATATGCAAATTCAGCAGCAAATTGTGTCATTTGTTCAAGGACATTGATTGAAATCTCAGTAACTAAAAATTGGCAAATTCTGCGTAGCATTTTCAGCCTCGAAAAACCCCACATTTGTATATATGGCTCGAAGCATATGTTACACTTTTTACTCATCAAATGAGCAGTTTTAGCCACAAAAACCCTGTAAGCTTAATGAATATTTCGATACTTTTAGGCGATCCACAATCTATGTATACATATATCCTGTTTATTCCAAACACCTCAAAATAACCATCGTAGCCCACACTGCACTCCCTATCTTGTTCTCTAACTCTCTCTCTCTCCCTCTACAGAGAAATCTCTTTCATTCGTCTCCACTAATAAATTGTGGGATTTCTTATATGTGTTTTTGTCTGCCAGCAAAATGGCTGCTTTAGCGCTTACGTTTTCGTGTGTCTGTATCTCTCTCTCTCTCTCTCTCTGTCTGTCTTTCTGTGAGTGTCTGAAGTGCAGTTACTTTGGCTAACGGTTATGTGCCCTCCCCCTCTCTCTGTCTCTGGAGGTGGCGCCCCGCGCCAAAGGTTAGCCAAAGTTATGTACTAGCAAATGGTGGCCCAATTTTCTTATGCAACACACTCTGGTACGAGCAGCGCTCGTGTCCCGTATCTCGTATCTCTCAATCTCCATTTGAAGTTCTTTATGCGCGGTCTCTCTGCCTCTACTCCTCTCGGGCCCCCTGTCTGCATACGTGCCCCATTTTGCCGCAGATTTGATCTCTGATGTGGGGATTGCCGCCTCTTCCGCTGTTTGCCAAAGAAATAATCCCAAAGATACTTTTGAGTGAGTAAAAAATCAGCAGAACTGAAGTGAATTCATGGAATAGAATGGCTGCACGATGTTGCAGCTACAAGAAATAAAATGTATCTTCAAGCATTTGCATCTAAGGAAAACGCTTCAAAGTTTTAGTTTAAATTTTTCTGTGTATTAATATGCGTTTATTTGTGCTACCAAAGCTGCTGAATTAACGATATTTGTGGTGTATTTATCGAATGAATATCTATGTGTCTGTGTCGTATCTGTATGTGTATTTATGGGAGTGACTGCTGCTGCTGCTGCCGCTGCTCACGATCCTCGTGAAGGCAGATCAGAGACAGCTGCGTAATTAGTCGAAAGATGTCAGTGGCAACCTCCACCTTCTCCTCGCAGTCCGCAATTTCTCCTTCAACATCTTCTCGTAGTCGGCCTTCATTTTCTCCAGCTCTGCGGCGATTACCATCTGAATATCTGATTCGCTTGTGGAAGCCAAATTGATGGACTTATCGTCCAGTGACTCGTGCAAGGAAGGCTGCTCATTCAGTGCCTCGTTCGAGGAAGGATGCTCCCTCGCCATCTCCTGGGAAGGGGATGTATTTTCAGCCATTCTTTCACACAAATCGATCCACGTGGGATCGATCCTATAAACGAATATTTTAGTTACTAGTTGTACGCTGCCCAAAAAACGAAGTGTATCTTTTGGGTTGCTTTCTGTTGAGTTTTTTCTCTCTCTCTAAATGCATTGATGTTAAAAGAGTGAGCTGCTCGTGTGCTGCTATGTTGTACACATGGGTTTTTCCATTGGACAAATACATAAATGGTTTAACACTCCACTCAATCCAGGATACATAATCAAGTGACAATCGATTCACAACTGCCGCTGCTGCTGCTGCTGCTGCCTTCATCATCTGTCAATGATTATCGAAATGTGTGTGTCTACCCCTACACACCCCTGGCCGACGATCTTTTCATGCACCAAAATGCACACATGATGCAAATATCTCCCCGATATCCCCTTATACATATATAAAATGCATTGTGTTGCATCCATAATGCACTTCTGATGATAGATTCCTGGCTTTTGCTGGCTGCCCTTCCCTGCCACATCCCACACGGCCGCTGCTGCGTTTGCTGTCAATTGCAAGCTGTTTTCCCGGACTACTGCCAGCCTTTTGTCTCCAAATTTCGATTCTGAAAGTCAATCAATGGACAAAAGTGGATTTTGCATACATAAACATACAAACACCATATCCTTTATACATATGTACATACATATATATATATATATGTACATACATATAAGCACATTCAACCAATCAACAATCGAATCGAATCGATGTGTACGTGCCTCCCATTGTGTCCTGTGCGTGTTGCGCCTTGTTGACTTCTGGGGGACACAATGCCTCCGTTCAGCCATTCGGCAATTGCCTTCAAATATATTTCGCCCACATTCCCAGACAATTTCCCAAATATTCCGAGCATAATTTCGCTTTAATAACACCGACGAGGACCCCCGAAACTATAATTTTTCAGATAAAGTTTTGTTGATTTTCCTTGAAGTCTTCCTTACGTTGTGCCCATAAAATCGCGCATCGTAGAACAATGGTGGCGACAAGCGGCAACAAATTTTATTACCCTTACCAAAAAAAAAAAACAAACAAAAGGGATCCATTCCCATCCATTCTACCTTCTGTTTTGCTCTGACATTCGGGACAATTCAATTGAAAAAACATAAAGGTTTATGGGCGTGTAAGCCTTTTGCCTTCCTACCGTCTCTCCCGCCCTCTCCCTCTGCCCAGTAAGTGGGTGATTGTGTGATGTTATAGGGCAGCATTATGTTAACCTTTATGGCGGCAACAGAACCGTATACATCGTTAAATTGGGGAAAACTTTAATACTCTACGAAGATTAGGGGATTAAACAGACACACAGAAAGGGAACAGCAGTGAAAGCATACATAAATGCACATACATATGTACATAATATGTACATAATATGTAACGATGAAAGTATTGTAATTGGCATATCCTAAGGGAATACATCCTAACTCTTTCAAATACAGAATATATGTATGTATATATTCCCCAAAGATTCTCACACTCTTTGAGCTACATACATTGATAGGGAGCTCGTGAAATTGTATTCTATAAATAACAGCCAAACTCATTCCACAGTGCAATTCTTTGGCACTCCGAAATAAAGTCACGAAACGTCTCAAAAGAACGCAGCTGTAGATCTGATCTGCTGATAACAAGCTGTTGCCTCTCTCTCTCTCTCTCTCTCTCTCTCACCCAACACGAATGAGCAAGGCAAAGTGTTGCTGCTTTGCCTTGCGAGGCCGAAGAGAGCAATAAGAAGCTGACGAGAGAGCGAAAGAAATGCAAAATACTGTAAATACTGAACATTGTTGTTGCAATTAACATTGGTCTCTGCCTGCGACCGCTATATTGATGCTCGTTGTGTGGTTTTGCGAGGGGCAGGAGGAGTGCAATGAAGTAGTGCAAAAGCTGAGCTGTGGTGCTTGAGTGATCGAAGAAACCAAAGTACTGAGTGACAATTCGGGTGTATTCGGCTGTGTGTTAATGGGGGGGCTCTGCTACACTGGTTGGTCGACCTACTCAGTTCTTTATTTGTGGATTTTACACACACAAGAAAATATACTAATACGGATACTATATACCCTCTTGTGCTCTCCTAAGTAAGGGGTATAATTAACACACTCATGTAGATGGAGGACAGGTAGACGGTATTAGGAAGTTTTTATGGCAGCGCATTAGTGGAAAGTGGAAAATATTTTATGGAATTTACAGTCTTATGGTTTCTACAGTCTCCGATTCCCCCTCAGTGATCCACTATACCAATAAAGCATGTGCAGGGCTCCACTTTCTACAAGGTTTTTCAGTCTACACTCAGCCCACATACTCGTACAGCAGCATGGCTACAGCATTCAAATTCGATCCCAAGCAAAAAAACAAAACAACAACATTGGGTGAGGGAATGAGCGAGGTGTTTAGTGAGTGTGTGTGTCGATGTAAGGGTCTTTCTGCCAACAAAGGGCAACCTTTCGAGAATCTTCACTTCATGGGGAGGGGCCGAAAAAACATCGACATTTGATAGGTTTTATTTTTGTTTTTATTGAAATTTATTGCTTGATTTACACGAGTTTAAGTGACAGCCAACACACACGATATTTGTACGGGTGGGCGGGGAGGTGAGGACAATATTTTGGGAGCCATAAATCACATTCGAAAGCCCCGGCATAAAAGTTGCAAATTAGGCTACAAATGTTGACAAGGCGATTAATCAAAGTGCAAGGCTGCCTCGCAAATGCAGCAAAACTAATTCGACTGCGAGAGGGAGCGAAAGGGAGTGAAAGGAGTCATGAATCATTCATAAGCACCGCTTATAATCCACGCAGAGGTAGGAGTCTCTCCTCCAGAAATTACGTTGATTAATGAGTATCTCACACTCTCTGCCTCTCCCTCTGTCCATTTGGCACTGTCTCTCTGTCCTTCTCTCTCTCATTCCTACTCAATTCCCCATGGCTCGTGTCCTTTTGCATTTTGGTCACGCAGACCGCAGAGCGAGGCATGTCCTTTTGGCCAGGCGATACGTAGGAGATTCCTCCTGCGATTCGTTCAGTAATTGAGTTTGCAAGTGGTAAAAGGAGTGCCTAGTGCCGAGGCCAGTGTGCAGGGGGGGGTGGGGAGCGAGAAAGGGAAAAGTAAAAATCACCAAAAGATAGATCCAAATTCCAAATGTGCTCCAAGGAGGACACACATGAACGAACTTTTGTCTATGGATCTCACAGCTCTCCATCTCCATCTCTTATTTGACCAAATTAAAAGTAAAAAGGTCATAAATTCCTCGTGGGAATGTGCCATACAGGGCGGCAGCTCCTTCTCCTATTATTTGAATGGGAGACCGAATCACCGCATGAATGGCATAAATAATAAACCTACTGCATACATACGTATGCATATGTATGTACTTCCAGGCGCCACACGCATCCGAAATATACACAGATAAGCCCACACACTCATGCACATACATCCACAATGAGAACGCTTTTGATGATTTTCCATCTGGTGGACGGTCCCTAGTGTCGTATGCGTAATATTTGTTTAATATTAACCCAAACGAATCATCATCATACATACACGGGTGCCACGGCTACGCCCTGTTATGCCCACACACACACACACACACACACACACACACACCAACACCACTGCCATGGCCACTGCCACGCCCACACGCACATGAGTGGGAGCCTCCCCCTTGAATGACCCGCAATTTTCCCATGGGACCCGCTTTCGGGGTCGGAGGTTTTTGGCTTTGTTTTTAAAGCCGCTTTTGGTACCCGAAATCAGGGGATAAACGCGGCGCCAGAAGAGCACTGGCAAATACCATGGCTAGGGCAGCGGCAGCTCTGATTTTGTGGATCAATAAATTATATCTGAAACAAAGGAAATCTGTTTAAATTTGTAGCCAAAAAGAAAGGCCGTAAGTCAGGCCAAGTCCATGGTGGCTCCAAATGAAAAGTGGAAAAAACAATTCAAACATTCATAGAAAAGTAAAAAAGCCAGCAAGCAGCTCGTTTCAGCAGATTCATTTCGTTATTGTGTGGCATAGAATTATCATAACAATCATTCTCACAGCACATCTCTCTCCATCACAATTTGAAACTCTTTTGGTGTGCGAAAAAAATGGCTTACAATACAGATAGCTACACCACAAACATTGTTCATTCAGCAGTGGTAATAGCACAAAAAAAATGCAAAATTAAAGACAACTTTAAAGTTTATGGGGTGTGGCCTTTCACTGACATCTCTCCATACACTTCCTTCGCTTCACGCATTGCGTAAACATTTCCATTCATCCATTTCCATGTCTGCATATTCATTAGATATCGTGACAGCCTGTTTTGCAGTGTGTCTTCCCCACCGTGTGTCCAGGAAATCGACATGAATTATTTGACTTCCAGCAAAAACCAATAACCAAGCGATTTCTCAACAGGGTAACACCTTCTGCCGACCCACAAGAAACAAGCAGCTGCCACCTCTCGTTTTTTTTCGCTCCCCCACTACCCAAAAAGGAGCTTCTTCTGTCATCGCTTCATCGATATCCTTCCACACAAAACAACTCGTTCCATTGCCCCAACAGCAAATACCACCATTTCGTCCCCATTTGACAAATGCTAAAAACTGACGCATCCTTGGCCTTACTTTCGTCACGAATGCCACACACTTTATTTGCTGGCATTTGGCATATAACAAGGACATGCTTTAGCAGTGGGAGTGGCAGTGGCAGTGGCAGTGGCAGTGTTGGAGTGGAGTCGACGAGGGGAGAAGTAGTTCCCCTAGTTCCTCTTTGCAACCGCAAATGTGTGTTGTGCGTGATTTCCATGCCCACAGCCACGCCCTACCCTATCGCCTCGCTCCTATCTACATATATATCCTTGCGCCCCGATCCATATCCCTATCCCTATCCCTATCCCTATCCCTATGCCCTCTTTCTATATCCTCCTCGTTCCGTGTGCCACATCCTTATTCTCCTTCCCGGCGAAAGGCAAAAGTGTTGAAAGTGGAATTATGTGTGTGTTTGTGTTGACATTATAATAATGGTTTTGGTTTATGTTTATAGTCTGCCGAATCCACACACAAACACACACATGAGTCGCCCATGTGCTCCTTTCCCTTTTACTCCCTTCTAATGCTCGTATTTTGCGTTATTGCGACTCCTCCCTGCATGTCCTGATACCTACAATTCCTATTGCTAGTCCTATTCCTTTGCTCGCCTTCCCATATATAACATGTCTGTCTGGGGGCTCTCTTTCTGAGCTTCTAAGGATGGGTTGTGGGGTCTCCCTCTCTCTGCCCTGCAACGCTGAGTCCTAGGACCTCTCTTTCGGGCGTGTCTCGCCTCCTCTCTGCTTTGATTACTATTCAAATATTGTGACAGTGTGAAAAATAAACAAATTTGCATTATTTATTTTCTCGCATTTGTTTGTGTTTTGCTGTTGGGCCTGTTCTGATAGTCAGGGTAAAGTGGGCGTTGTCTTCCCAAGAAAAAGCCAACAGTTTTCGCTGTAGATTTGCCCAAAAAAGAAAAATAAAACAACAATTAATAAAGCAAATTAAATACTTTGAAAAGCGGAAAATGGGGGGGACGCTTTTAAATTTTAAGAAATTATGCTGGATATGCCATGAAAGAGATTACGAAATGAGGAGAAATGGGACAACGAGGCGACAAAGATGAGCTGAGGGGGAAACAGTGGAGCAGATGGACAAGGATAAAAGATACAAATTAGAGCAATATTTTTCAGTAGATTATCCCCCATGAATGGAAATGAATGGAAACTCTGCAGATACTTTCCTGCAGTTCTATTCATTTCTAAAATTATCCACACATGTTTTTCCATTCTTAAGCTTCAGATTATTCCAGCCCCTGCCACAAAGCTCTCATCATCTGTTCTCCTAAAACAGTCTTGGCCCCACCCCCTTTCCCCCCAAAGTTTCATCAAAACTTCAGCGATTCTCGCTCTTTCTGCCGCCTTTGTACACATAACTATCCATAAGATACTCCACGCATAAAAATGCACAGAGCAGCCGACAGCTGATGCTCTCTGTGTTTGTGTCATAAGCTTTGTGGCTTTGCTTTTTTGTATCCTTGTGTATCCTCGAGTCTCACCGCCTCCTGCATAAGTTGTGATTTATGAGCCGTAGCAGCGGCAGCGGCAGCGACAGCAGCGTTACCTCCGGCTGAAACGCGTCTCCGATGCGCATCGGGGTGTCGGATGCCTCGCCTCCCAAACGGAGAAGTAGATCCAAGGAGTCGGCCATAAAGTGCAAATGGTGCCCAAGGGAATCATCAAAAGCAGCAAAAAGCTGCCATAAAACGACAGCACGAAACATGTGCGACAGCAGCAGCAGCCCAAACTAAAAGCCACACACAGGGCAAAGAAGAGAACGAACCCCGGAAATAGATACCCCATCAAGTGGTCAACATTTGGTGTTGCCAACGCTTCGAATGGACACCATCGTGGCTGCTGCCTGCTCGCTGGTGGCTTCTCTCTGTTTGCTGCCAGATTGGATATCAGTGTAAACATCAAAGTAGTTGGCAAATCACTCACACGTAGCGTTGGCCCCCTGAACCAAAAGCAGACTATTGGTCCCGGGGAATGAGCCTAGGAGGGGAACTTTGCAAAGGAGTCGACCCAAAGAGTCCAAAGCGGGAGCGGAATTGACACAAGAGAAGAGACCCCAAAACCCTCGCACTCTCATTTCGAGAGTACTCCAATGAGGACATCGATGCTTCTATGGCCACGCATACAAATTGGCGGCACTCTTGAGATCACACTGAGCGAAATCATGGGCGCCGTCTAAGCCAGTTGTGGCTGCCAGTAACTCAATAATTGCGGGATACTCGAGTCCGTGTAACTTCATTAGGATGTAGGAGCGGAAATGCTTCCTGCTGTACTCTATTGCTGAACGATTGAGTGAATTTGGGATTAGATTGGATGCTGCAAGCTCACAGATCCAATAAATTGTTGGCAAAACAGGAGAAGCATTTTTAATTTATTTTGTTTACTTTTTGATGATACAACTAAATGTGTTAAAAGGTTTTGTGTGGCTTATTGGCGCTTTGATTACTCACCGACAATATTCAGATAGACAGCATGGCCGATGGGTGGTGTGGTGGAGATCTGGCACTCGTAGATGCCCGAATCCTTGCGCTGGGCATAGCGTATGCGAAGGGACCAATCCTCGGCGTGTGGCGAATGCTGGGCCTCGAAACGCTGATCTGATGTGTACGTATAGCGGCCGACAGTCAGCAGATGGATGTCACGATGTCGCACCCATGAGACCTGCAAAAAGAGAGAGGGAAAACGCGCACTTAGTGACTGTGACTGTGACTGTGACTGGACAATGACTGGGATGATGTCCTGCTGGTGCTGACTTTAATTGCGCGCTTTGTTGGTGTCCGTCCCTTAATTGCAGGACAGGACACACAGGACAAACAATTTAAATGCCAAATTGAAATCGAATGTGGGGTCTGAGTCTCTCCACTCCCCATCCCCCCTTCCACCCGTTCTGTCCCCGAACATTGAGGTCGTGCAAAGACCCAACATGAAGTGAACCCTATACACATCCCCCTCGCCTTTGTTATGCTCTTTGAGTTTTATGGCCTGTGGTCCCCATGGTCCGAGGAGTCTGAGAGGCTCTTAAATGGTGGCCATAATTACGCGACGCTTCAACGAGGAAACCAGTCAAAAAGAGCGGCACAAAGGGCAGCAAGAGGAGTGCCGCTGGGCGGCCAAGAGGAGCGTAGGGCATTACCCATAGAAGTACCCAGAGGTGTACGTTTAGAAGGCCCAAAAATGATGCCGAAAGGCATGCCAAAAGCTGTGGATTTTCGGGCGCTTTTCAGGTTAGAACCCTTGACATCGTCGCCCTTTGGTTATCGAAAGTGCCACCACAACACGCATTGCAAGAGGATTTTCGACTCGTAACCAAAAGAAGGCAGAGCTCCTAGCATAACTTTCATAAATTCCATTCGAGTATTTATAAACGACAGTCCCAGAGCTGCCAAATGCATCGCTTGAATATCCTTTATGTGCCATCATCAATCGGTTGCCAACGATCAAATGTAATTTGAATTTTTCAGCATTTTGTGGGCAGGGAGGGTCTGGCAGTGTTCTGTAATTATTTTAAATGCGGTTTTCGCTCGTTTAGTATTTGTTGTGTAATTTCGTACGTGTGTCGCACGGAGGATGGTGGTCCTGTAATTATCACACAGCGGAAACTCTATATTCTATGCGATTTGTTGGGTGGCAATTAGATAATTACGACAACATTATTAGCAAATTAATTTTGATTTTATGCGGCCGAGTGCCAAATGAGAATGACAGAGAAAAAGAGAGAGTGCGTCTACATGTACATATGTACATCTGAACATATGTATATGCATTAATTATTCGTGTATTTGTATATGGCAGACATTCCAATTGCAAATTGCGCATTTTTGCAGTCCTTCCTGCTGCTGTTGTCCCTGGCATTCAGCCAAAGCATTTGGCAAAGGAAATGTCTGTGAGTGTGCGTGTGAGTGTGAGTGTGAGTGTGTGTGTGCCCACTCTCCTCATTTATAGAAAGACAAAATATACTCGTATTTCGAGAAGAAGAGCCAATGAACATTGTATGGCAGCGAGGAGGAACTCAGTACTCAAAATAACCTACATCCAGAGCAGCCCACAAATGAGTGAAAGAAATAAAAATCGAAAGCAGAAAATGTTATCGTCAGATTATTTATTCAATGGGTTAATTGTGCAACGAATCGGTAAGGTTTTTGCAGTGAATTTTAATGTTAATATATATTTTGTGCCCCTTTCGAATGAAGGCATTCAACCAGACCAGAGTTAAAGCATTAAACTGCTAGTGCCGCTGGCTGAATGGCAAGATGCCAGTCAAACGGTAGCGCGGAACCCTTTCTCTCGTTCTTTGCTTCTAGTTTCAGCGAAATGAAGAAATGAAAATCGCATTTTAGGGGAAAAAAATCGTAAAGCGAGAGAGTAGCAAACACTGCGTCCGTGCCACCGATAAAGTCGCCGCTTGGCTCTGTTGCGGCAAAGGGATTTTGGGTGTTCGTTCTCAATTTGGTTCTCTGTGCACACACATAACACAGGGACAGGGACAAGGCCTTCTCCTCTCTTTCTTCGCCTGCCGATGATTGGCTGGATAAGGGACGCGGGGCTGTTTGGGGCATCTGCTTCATGTGTCCCCAAAGTCGCGGTGACAAGCGTATTTTTGTTGTTGTTCTTTCTTTCCTTCCCCATTTGCTGAGGGTATTGCGAGGTATCTGCGATGCTCAAGTCATTGGATAATTTTCATAGCTCTGATGGGCATACAAAATTTCAGGAAAACTCATTATTAAATGCGAAAACCTACTCCAAATCGAATCAAACTACACACATATGTATATCCCCGTCCATAGTTTCGATTGTTACCCAGGGCATCAGACGCTTCGCTCTGCGAATTTGTAAGTCCTGCTTTTGTTCGTGAACCATCGACTGTCTCTGGTTTTCTTTGCTCTGGCGACACTTTGTTTCCTCTGTTGCACAGTTTTATTTTGTCGAGTTTTTTTAGTGTGCGGCATGGAGCATGGGGCATGCCTTACGTTATGGAGAGAGGCGTGTGGTTCCTGCAGCTTAAAGTTTGCGCTGCGTGAAACTTTTTAGTTGGTTTATATTCCACGGGGTGGCACGATACTCCTGTGGCGGGCGGTAGGTAGTTGGCGGAAATTATGAGATGCCCTTGCTTTTGAATATGTATGGGACTTCCTCTCTCTCCCTCGTTGGCTCTCTCCCAGTCCCGCGCCCTCTCTGTCGCAGCCTTTATAATTTTCCTTTTACTTTTCTTTCGAGTCTTTAGCCGAGAACTGAGACGTTTGTGCAACCCCCCCAAGAAGTTGTTTGCTCAGTTTATTGTTGGCATTGTTACCATGCCACATGCCAGTGCCACACCCCACTGAAACTGCCACTGCCACTGCTGCTGCACGTGAGAGGTTGCTGATTGGGGAACTGCCTTCCGAATGGTCGGTCTTGCCAGCATCGATGCCCCACGCTGTGAATTGCATCGCGTTGAATCGGCTGCAGCCAGAATGAAATGCCAATCAGTGTCCTGTGCCCCACTCCCCAGTCCCCAGTCCCCAGTCCCCACTGCCCAGTCCCCATAGAGGATTTGCTGGAACAAACACCTTTATGGCTGACAAGCGGAATTTCCTTTTGCTTCTCCACAAACACACACACAGAGGGAGAGAGAGAGAGAGAGAGAGAGAGTGAGAGAAAAACTTGTCCCAAGTCCCAAGTCATGGCAGCAATCAGGTAAAGGGAAAGACTTTCCTTCAAGCAGCATATTTCACACGAGCTAAACCTGCGACAAGGGAACACTGAGAGGGAAAAATGAAGGATCGTCTCCAGCCCACTTGGAGAGACTTCGATATCGATCACTTGGTCCAAAGACAGGTTTTGGGGAGACGCAGAAAAGACAAACTTTCATCATCGCTTTCAAGAAATAATCGCTTTAATTTCTATCAGCAACATATGCAGTTTATTCCAACCGCTGTCCCCCATTTCGGCGAGCACCGAGTGTATACCCATCGTTCCAGCCACATCCCCTCTGCTTCCCCTCCCCTCGTTTGGCAGCCACTAATGACATTTTCTGCAGTATCGCCAAGAAGTTCTCGAAATAAACAGAGCCCCCACCCACCGCCTACTGGGACAGATGCATATAATAATAATCACATTAAATTAGAAAATGCTGCACTCATAATTTTTGCTCATTTCTGGCTCCTACTTTTACCGCCCACTTCCTGCCACGCCGCTTTTGGCATGGAGAGAGATGGATAGAGAGGAAGCGGGGAGGAGTGGGAAAAGAGAGTGGATGCCAAAAAAGCCAACGGGCATAGGATGTTTTGGATTTTCGAGCTTTAGTTCAGCGAATCCGACGTTACGGAGTGGGGGCCTTGTGGAGGATTGGGGCCATCGAAATATCGAAATATAATTGCAGAGAGAAACAGAAGAGCAAGAACAAATAATGAGAGAGAGAGAGGGAGAGGGGAAACTTGTGTGTGTGTGCGGACGGAAATCATCTTTTGGAGCATCGTAAATTGCATTTGGAAATTTCGCAAACAAGAAATTCAAAATGAAATCAAAATGCCATCAAATTTATGCACAAAAATATTTTGGGAACCTGCCGCCCACTGCCGCCGCCCTCCCTTGCCCATCTTTTTGTCCATCAGAGGGCAGAATGGCAATGCATTCTGTAATTTTCCACAAAACTGCAATAAAGATACGTTTTTCTTTGGATTTTCCGCTGTGGCGAGTAGCAAGGGAAAGCAGCCTTTAAAGTGGTTTTATGTTGTTCGATTTGGAAACGGAGTGGGACCCCAGTCAATGATTTTCCTATCAGTAGAGAGTTTTTGGCAACAGACAAATCAAGTACAAAGCACTCGGGGCGAATGCCTTTGTTCGATATTTCATTTCATTACAACATACGTACATCTGTGTGAAAGCAGCAACAGAATACAATTATTATTATCGAGAATTTCTATATATATTTTAAAAAGGTAAAGCAGAACCCGAGGTCTGTGCATTTATTAATTATAATTGCTTGTTAATTTTTTAAGATGATCGGAAAGCTGCCAACCCCATGGGACGATTTCTGTCTTATACCTGATTATGAAATGGGCATGGAGGACGACGATCAGTGGGAGGAGCAGGAGAAGGAGATCGAAGTGGAGGAAGAGGAGCAGGAGATGGAAGAGGAGGAGGACGCTGATCCATTTTCTCGTTTTCCATACGCCACATAAGCCACAAATAGAAATAGGAATCGACACGGAATTGACACTAAAAACAGCCTTGTGATTCGTTGGAGCAATTTAATGTCACGAATAATCAATAAATAATATTGAATATTTAAGTCTTTTTTGTTGTATTCAACACTTGCTGGAATACCCTGCCTTAAGTCTCCATTAAGGCCACCGCACATCGATGCCACATCTCTGTGGGATGTCCTTTCTGCCTCTCTCTCTCTCTCTCATAGTCTGGGGCGGTCTGTCACTGCCTTCCCTTTCGACGGTTTGTTTTGGTTTCACTTGAGTTTTTGGTATTGCTTTGTTTTATGCATGTCGTCACGCATCGCTTTTCAAAACACAACAAAGACAAAAGCCAGAAGAGCAGCTGAGGAAAACCTCAGAAAAAAAAGTCACATCCGGCACTTGCAGCGACACTTACGCATGCCCCAACTGGTGGCAGCCATTCAATGCCTGATTTTCCTCGACTCCATTGCTACGCGGTGACAAGTGCACAGC